TAACTTATTTGTTACCTAATAATCGACATTTAATTTTGCGAGATTAGTAGGCATAAAACACGCCGTTTTCGAGAGTGAATCACCTCGTCTTAGGTTTTATTTAGTTACTTATTTTGTTTTTATAACTGCATAGAATAATTAAAAAAAAAAAAATCACTTACGTTGTGCTGTATTAGGTCCTAATAGAAAAATAAATTTGCTTTACTTTTGAATAGCCCAACTAACTATACATTTCGTTTATTATCTATACAGCTTATCAATTTAATACATATATACTAGAAAGGTACGATTTGTTCACCGAACAAGCAAAACGTACGTTTAGTTTTCGCATTTCACGAAATTGTACTGTTTCAGTCATTCTTTTTTTGTGTCAATGTTTATTATGCAGAAAACGACCTCGGATGTATGGTAAGTTTATATAAACAAACATATTTTAAGTGGGTACACGTGATCTGTACGAATAACAATGTTTGAAAATATAAACTACGGTGCAAATCCGCCACAAAATATTGTAGTTAATACAACTAATTAATTTAATACAAAATGTATTGTTTCTGTTTTTATATACAACGATTTATAATAGTATTACAGTCGAGTATAGTGTTGGCAATATTGCAGTTTTAGATTCATTGATATAATATGCATTTGATAATAACATATATGCTAATAACTGTGTGCAGTTCATTATTTTTATTGTACAAAATGACACATTCCACACCGAGTTTAAAATAATGAGATTCTGAGAGTTATGGGAATATATTGATTTACTATGATGTTTTATTTTTATTTTTTTTAAACTACGTAATGTAATTATTGTATAGTTGCATTTCATTAAAAATATTCGTAGAAATTAAAAATGGTGACAGAAAATGTATATTTACTTTACTAAAAATGGTAGAATGTTAGAATAATTCGAGAAATTGTTAAGATTTTTGAATTAATTTTTATATTTTCCTTGAAATTCAATGGCCCTTTAATAACCCTAATTATATATAATTTACATTAAACTAAAAAAATAAAAATATAATAAAAAACTTAAACCATTTTGAGCTCATCGTAGAAAATAAAATATTTCGAGATTTGTACCCATTTAACAGGCTTATTAATTCACCCTGTATAAAGTTTTAATTAGTTACATAATTTCTTTTTAATACTACATAATATATTAAAAAACAAATAATCAATTACCCTGTGTCCCACTAGTTTGTGGCGCTAGAAAAAAAAATTTAGATATCACAGCTTATTTTATATTTTACTTATTTATCTATGCAACTAATTCAATGAAAATACATTGTTTCTGTTTTTATATACAACGATTTATAATAGTATTACAGTCGAGTATAGTGTTGGCAATACTGCAGTTTTAGATTCATTGATATAATATGCATTTGATAATAACATATATGCTAATAACTGTGTGCAGTTCATTATTTTTAGCTTAGTACGCATAAAATATGGCGTTTTCGAGAGTGAATCACCTCGTCTTAGGTTTTATTTAGTTACTTATTTTGTTTTTATAACTGCATAGAATAATTAAAAAAAAAAATCACTTACGTTGTGCCGTATTAGGTCCTAATAGAAAAATAAATTGCTTTACTTTTGAATAGCCCAACTAACTATACATTTTGTTTATTATCTATACAGCTTATCAATTTAATACATATATACTGGCAAGTTACGATTTGTTCACCGAACAAGCAAAACGTACGTTTCGCTTTCGCAATTATCGAAATTGTACTGTTTCAGTCATTCTTTTTTTGTGTCAATGTTTATTATGCAGAAAACGACCTCGGATGTATGGTAAGTTTATATAAACAAACATATTTTAAGTGGGTACACGTGATCTGTACGAATAACAATGTTTGAAAATATAAACTACGGTGCAAATCCACCACAAAATATTGTAGTTAATACAAATAATTAATTTAATACAAAATATATTGTTTCTGTTTTTATTTTCAACGACTTATAATAGTATTTCAGTCGTGTATATGTATATTTAGTCATAGTCAATGTATATTTACTTTACTAAATATGGTAGAATGTTAAAATAATTCGAGAAATTGTTAAGATTTTTGAATTAATTTTTATATTTTCCTTGAAATTCAATGGCTCTTTAATAACCCTAATTATTTATAATTTTCATTAAAATAAAAAAATAAAAATAAAATAAAAAACTTAAACCATTTTGAGCTCATCGTAGAAAATAAAATATTTCGAGATTTGTACCCATTTAACAGGCTTATTAATTCACCCTGTATAAAGTTTTAATTAGTTACATAATTTCTTTTCAATACTGCCTAACATATTAAAAATCAAATAATCAATTACCCGGTGTCCTACTAGATTGAGGCGCTAGAAAAAATAATTTAAATATCACAGCTTATTTTATAATTTACTTATTTATCTATGCAACTAATTCAATGAAAATATATTGTTTCTGTTTTTATATACAACGATTTATAATAGTATTTCAGTCGAGTATATTGTTGGCAATACTGCAGTTTTAGTTTCATTGATATAATATGCATTTGATAATAACATATATGCTAATAACTGTGTGCAGTTCATTATTTTAATTGTACAAAATGACACATTCTAATCCGAGTCTAAAATAATAAGATTCTTAGAGTAATGGGAATATATTTTTCACTATGATAGTTATTTTGTTCTTTTGTATTTTGTACGAAATTTCTACCAGAAATGTCTAAATGGAATTATTATCCAGATTGTTTTATCGGGACGTATTTTTTTATTTTCCAAAATCCAAAATCAAACTGAAAATAAACGGAAAATTTACCAAAATTACCTTATCATTTCTAGACATTGTAAAACTTTCTAATCATTTGAGTATTGTTTAAGATTTTTGAAATAATTGCAATGTTTTGTTGAAACTAAAGAACTATGTATTATTTACGTTATATTATAAAAAATACAATTATACAATAAATTTGATCTTTTCATAGGTATTAAAATATTTCGGGATCTGTACGTAAATAACAGGCTTAGTAACTCACCCTGTATATAGTTTTAATTAATTACCTAATATCCTTTTTAGTACTGTACAACCTTATTAAATCAAAAATCATCACTTACCTTTTTGCTTACTAGATTCTGGTCCTAGAAAATGAAAATTTTAATATAATTTTGAATATCGCAGCTTATTTTATATTTTTCTTGTTTTTCTGTGCAGCTAATTAATATAATAAAAAATTTACTGGCACTGTGTGTTGATATCATGAATCAGGATAGTATTTGTCTATTGTATACTAATGACTGTAACTAAACTGTAGTATTAGTTCTTAATGATATATTATGCTTTTGATTAGTTTGAATGATAATAGTTGTGCTTTTTTATTATTTTTGTAGTAGAAAAAGACTCATCCACTCAGAATTTAGATAATGAATTTTGGATTTCAATGTGGAAATTATTTATTTACTAAGATAATTTTTATTTATTTTTTTGTTCTACGTACATAAATTCTGCTTGAAATCCTGCTCTGATGTATTCGCATAGCACCTTTGCTGAATGGAAATATTGTTCAGAAGGTAGTAATTGAAGATTCTATTAAATTTTCTATGTGGTTTTCATGAAATCTAAGAAAAACCTAACAATACTTATTGATTTACTATGATATTTATTTTTTGTTTTATTTTTCGTTGACAACACTGACATTAACTGATAAGTGATAATCGATAAAATATTTTTATAGGTTAGTAATATCAAATTTTGGTTTTGTTTTATTTGTTTCGTTCAAAATGTATGTTTTATATCCAAAAATTGTTACGAAATTCTTTGTCAACATCTAAAATACGGTCCGTTGAATATTAATGAATCGCTCTATCTTTAGCTCTCTAATGTCATCATATCGTTCATCTTCAAATAAAAACGAAAAATTTAGTCTTATATTAGAGGCAGAGTTATAGGAGGTAAAGGGTTATAACACCCATACCAAACCTCTATAACCTAACCTATTAGGTAAAACTATTTTATTCTA